AACATCAGTTAATATTTCATCTATAAATTTGGTAGTCTTTAAGGTTCGGATTTGGTTAGTCATTGTAATTCTTTTCTTGTTATTGGAAAACAATAAAAGCCTATAAACAGGTAACATTTTTGTTAGGCCAACTGAAGATACACAAAATAGTTGCAAGCTGCTTTTTTTCCCCTCATGGTCAACATATCCATTATTGATTCTGTTCATTTTCATTATAGTTTTTTTGGAAATTAGAATATGTTTGAATGAGTGAGTGGCAGTCATGGTGCATTTTATTATCGGAGTATGCTAAAATGGTTTATTTCAGTATACCTTTCCCAGTGTCAAAATGTGCCATTTTTCACAGCAGAGTACCAGCAATATTTTCATGGAAGCAGTCAACTCTAAGCATCACCACCATATTACATTTAGTTCAACAAATGCATAAGTAATTTTACTCTCATGTTAGTTTGTGCCATTTACCACAATGTCATATATTTTTGAGACTTACTACATCATCATATATAGGAAATATTTAGATCATTTTTAATGATAATGGACACATTCACAAGTTTGACATATTTAATTTATACAAAGAGAATTTCATTCAGTGTAAACAAGCATAAGAAAAATACTTTTAAGATGGTCTTTGGAACAAGAACTTTGTTTGAAATTGGTATGGAATGAAAACTACAGTTATTCCATTCTTCCCCAACTTGGCTCCCTCCAGCTGTTTTGAGCCTACAGTTTTCCCAACATCTCTAGCTAACATGATGCTCTGGGAATAGCACTTCCATTACCTTTGAACGGCATTATATTTGGAAATGATGGCATAATCTCTTACCATATTAGAATTATAATTAATTCATGTTAAGAAACAGTGTGCTTTAAATCATCAAATGAAAACTATTTTTCAGCACTAAATATTCATGCTACAGTGTCTTTTGCTAAACAGCCTGTGTCACGTATAGCAATAATTTAGGAAGAGCCCATTTCTCAAGATCAATATATATATACTTTCTCATGACTGGGAATTTTAAAAAGACATCTTGGACATAAAAATGGGTAGGGGAATATGTAAACATTATGATATACCTGAAACACTGGAAGGAAATGCTAAATACAAGTCATATTACATTAAAATGTCAAAATAGGGGAAAGTACAATTTGTAGTGATCGAAGAAAAACATTAGCCCACAAAGGCTGCTCATGATTCAACCATCTTCTTTATTTTTCATTACTTTTTAATATCTATCTTGTCAGGTGGAGAAAATGGCCCCAGCAAAAACATCACAATATTTCTCTATAACTATCCATTAGTTGAAGATTGACAGTTTATTTTCCTGAGTAAAGTCACTGATGTTTTCAATATCTTCTTTAATTGTTCAAATAAAATAAGGCAGTTAATGATTATATCACTCGATCTTTTCCCCTCCAGAACTGTACAGCCATTTAGTCTTTAACAGATCTGTTTTCCTAGAAATGCAAATAATAAAATTGCCTTCAGCACCAACTGTGATCAATTGCCTTGGATTTCCTAGATGAGCAACTTGGATCATGGTAGATCCTTAAGAATCACTGATGTCAAACAGCAAATTGCACAGTTCAAGATTTCTTTTCAGACAAAAGAGCTCATATTCTGTTTTGATATCTTTTTTCTGCTTAGAATTAACTTAGATGTGGTTGCAGATAATGCTGTTCACTAAATTGGAAAGAAAATGTCTTTGATATTAATAATAGTTGCATCTGAAAAAAAGCTTTTTTTCCCCTAAGGAAGCAAGCAAATTCCATGAACAAAAAATTGCTTCCCAATTATAAAAGTGAATTTTGTGCTTCTTTTTTTTCAAAAAAAAAATTAATAATAATCCAAACTTTGTGAACTCCAATTAGATCACTTTGTTTTTTCTCTAGTCCATTTGATCATAGTCTCTGGTGAACGGTACAGGAATATTAGCTTAGCATATAAATCTTCCTCTAGTTCTAATTCACCAGTCTCCCGCACTAAGAAGATATCTGTACACAGCTTTAGGATACGATCCACGTTGGGAAGCTCTTCAAACATAATAGAATGGGAGATTCCGCTGAAGAATTCACGGACAAATTTTCCTATTACCAGCACAACTGAAGCATATAAACCCATGATTCTGCAAAACATGAAAGAAAAACATTAACATTTTAAAATGTGCAATAATTTGAAAAGAGACAGACAGACCTAGAGTAGAGATGTAGCATGGCTAGATAAGGGACATGGGATGCCTCAAGAAAGTGGTAAGGTATGGATGGGGTGCCTCAGTCCAGGCTGTGTGCAAGAGTCTCTCCCCTGAGCAGCTGAAAATCTTCCTTGGATTTCACCAGGGATTTTCAGCCCCAAAGCTGAAGGACTTGTCCATAGCAATCCCTCCCCCCAACTCACACCTGACCTTGGTCTCTCTCTCCACCCCAAGACATCTTGCATCTTTACCTGGGACTAAGTCCACTTAATAATCCACAAGATTGCTTAATAACTGCAACTGAGAATCTCATGATTGCAGCTGACAAGTGGTCATGTGATATCTTGCTTAAAGACTGCTTCACTGAATAACTGAGATTCCAGGTCCATTTATGTTTGTAAGTCGGGGACTATATGTAGAGCATAAAATCGGCAATTGCCAACTATAAGTCTCAAACAGTCCCTTGGTTAAAATTTTGCAACTCTTTTTTCCCATTTGAGTACTCCAATGGTCTGAATGATGTTTGTTTTTCTGATGGGGGTGGGGGCAGTATACTGTAATTGTCAACTGTCTGCTTTCAAGCTCTTCTAGCCTTCACCCTCATTAATGTTGAAAAAGGTGGGCTGGATTATATTCTGTTGCCTATATTTTAACCAATTGCACATTGGTGGGATAAATTAGCTATGGGAGCTTTCAGCCCCAATAAACTCTTCCATTAAAATGTAACTATCTGGATTCAATCCAATTTCTGATTCTGTTTTATTGATGGTAAAACTACCATTAATGTTCTCATCCAGTTACAGGATCTTCTACCTGGCTATAAGGATAAAAGTGATGTGATAAGAATTGATAACAATCACCTTTTAAAATTTACGAAAGCAGAGACACCCATGCCCAAACATGTTATCAGATATGAGAGCAGTTGCTATCAAAAACTAAATAAATATGCAGTTTGAACTGCAGTTTGGGGACCAGTTTTAACTGGTTTGGAGCTCTTTGGAGTATATATTCCAAAATGGATCCATAACAACTGAACAGTGCCAGGTCTGGTTGGAACCATGAAATCCGACGCACTGCAGTAATAAATCAAATAGTCAGAATCTAAACACTTTCTTTATTCCTTCAGAATCTACTGAAAGCAATGTAGGCTTGTGAGAGGACCTACTTTGTAACTGTATACATCTGAATAGATGCCCATATTATATGTTTGGTAGTTGATGAGAATAGTTATGACAGACTCTTTTGGATATATTTTATCATCTAGGGGTTTCAGTTATCTTACAGCCTTTAGAACTTGATCTTTTTCAGCCATTCATAATAATTTGATAATTTGGACATGGTCTTAGGCGATAATGGCAATGAAACTAGTCTCCTTCAGATGATCACATGTAAGGAAAGTTTGCTTCAATACAATGTAAATATAAACAGTAATGCTCCCGAAACATAAGCAACGTTTCTTAATTACACAACAATGTTAACATGAAGTATTTGCTTACCCATAACCTGCCAAAAATCCAAGACTGGGAGGACTGACTTTGTCACTGAACACAATTAGTTCCAATCTAGTTTTATTTGACTCCATAAATTTGTTCTTCTGGTTTAAAACCCACCATTCATGAAGTTCACCGGACTTGTTATTATTGGATAGTGAAACAGTGATATCTTTAAACTTCCCACCTACAAAAAAGTAGAGAAGGAACAAAAAAACCCCATCCTCTTTATTAGCTATTCCAGAGGCATCCAGCCTGCAGCCTATGGGCCACATGCGGCCCTGGATAGCTAGTAATGTGGCCCCACAAGATCATAAACTTTAAACTTTATGTTTGTATGTTTATATACATTGTGTTTATATACACTGATTATATTACATATTTTATATGCGGCCCAGGTCAATTCTTCTTCACTTGGTGCAGTCCAGGCAAGCCAAAAGGTTGGACACCCATGAGTTATTCAGAGAAGCAAGAAAATACTTTTTCAATTTCCCACAAAAAAAATATTGAATCAATGACCTCACACCACACAAATGTTTTATAATTGTAAAATAATTTATGTTAGAGATAAGTTTACCACTGCATCTGTTCTCAGTGAAGAATTAACTTAATGTCAAAATATACTTCTCTATATCTCTGTAAATTAGTGTCTAGAAAAGAGAATACCTTCCGAAAACTTAGAACTAGCCATCCTTCTTTTAAGCCTTCAGATTGTCTGATCAAGGCCTGTATCAGTATGTCTGAAAATAAAAGGAAGCAAATGAAATCCTTCTCCCTTCTCCTAACATGCTACCTTCCACTGCAGTAATAGGAGTGCTGTAGCTGAACAAGATCACTTCCTTGATTGTAAGCAATGCTGCATAAACAAAACTGTTTCAATCTACAAGGCCTTATAATCTGTAGGTAGTCCTTGCATAATGACCATTTGTTTATAGAGACCATTCAAAGTTATGATGATATACTGTCAGCCAATCCTCCAAATTACAGCCATTGTAGCACCCCCGGTCATGTGACAAAATCTGAGCGCTTGGAAAGCTGCCTGTATTTACGACTGCCAGTATGCACTTTAACTTTCCTTACCTGCCTATCTCCTCCCTCCCTCTGCCCTTTTGGCTGTCCTTACCCTGCTGCTATTGCCTGCCCCTTCTGCCCTCTGCTGACTGTTGCTACCTTCTTCATGCTGCCAATGAAGTGTATCCAGCAGAAGCAGCTGCTAACACCTTTGGAATGCTGCACAAGACACTCACGTGGTCTTGTGGCATCACAATGGGGAGGCATCACAAGGCCTCCCTATTGCTTTGCAAGGCCACATGAAAGTCTCACGAAGGGCCAGCAACTGCCTCAGCCAGGCACACCTTGTCAGCAGTGGAAGAAGATAGTGAAGGTCAGGTAGGGCTGAAGGGAGTAGACAGAGGTAGGTAGCGGTGATGAAGTGCAGGGATAGGCAGATGGGGGGAATTGAAGCAGAGTCCAGCACAATATGGCCAAAAAAACTGTGAAGTTCTGACTTAATAATCATAACTGGGAATCAGAAGTGCTGTCACTAAATGATGCAGTCATGTGGTAATTCACCTTATGACAATTTTGCTTAGTGATGGAAATTCTGGTCCCAATTAGTCCCAATTAAGTAGGGTCATTAAGCAAGAACTATCTGTAATGCAAGTTGTGATAAAATCAAGAGAGAAGAGGATACTTCCCCCTCTAAATATAAGGAAAACTTGGTTCCATGAAGGATGCATTTAATATTATCTCAAAGTCATGAAAATCTTCTTATTATCCTTTAATCAAGCCAGTAGGAGATAAATTATTAAACGGTGGTAGATGCAAGAAGAAGCATTTCATCAGCACTTTCTATTAGCCTTTGAGACACCACAATATGAAACATTTGAATTTTTTTGTTTCTAAGAATGACCACCCCTTAATCTGCAACATGGGAGACTCAAAAATCACAAAACAATGTTTTATCACTTGAAATAATGCTGAAAATTCATACCGTCCAAAAGTTGTTTTACAGGTTTTGCAGCATTATCGCTAGGTGCCTTGATATAATGTGGATATACTCCAGCAAGCGTCCTAGGTAAGGAACAACATGATTTAAGGATATTTAATAGAAATGTATTTACAATATTTTGCGGTCATAACTGATCTTTCTTATCTCATACAGTGACTGGGTAAAGTCATTCCAGCACCATAAGTGACTCGCGATTTTAACATGTCTCCCTGGTTTCAGTCCAAAACTCTGTTTGATCCACTACATTGGTTCACTATTATAATTATAAATATTTATGTGTAATTCCCAGATGGCAAATTCCATGTTCATTTTCTTTTAAAATTTATTACTCTTCAATATAGTGAAAATTTGAAGACAGCTAGCCTATCATCAAAGTATTCTCAATTTTAGTATCAGAAGGGTAACATATTTTTATTAAAACAAACTCTAGAACTGTTAACTATTCATCTAATTCTTTAAATGATTTTCTATGAGCCAAGTACAGTAAAAACTATGCTGAAAGAGATTTTGACATATATACAAGTAGTCCTCGACTTACAATCACAGTTGAGTCCAAAATATCTGTCACTAAGCAAGACAGTTGTTAAATGAGTTTTGTCCCATTTTACGACTTTCTTGCCACAGTTGTTAAGCAAATTGCTGCAATTCTTAAATTAATATCATGGTTGTTAAATGAATCTGGCTTCCCCATGGACTTTGCTTGTCAGAAGATCGTAAAAGGTAATCACATGACCCTGGGACATTGCAACCATCATAAATCTGAGTCAGTTGCCAAGCATCTGAATTTTGATCACATGACTATGAGGATGCTGCATCGGTTATAAGTATGAAAAACGGTCATAAGCCATTTTTTTTCAGGGCTGTTGTAACTTCAAATGGCCAATAAATAAACCGTTGTAAGTTGAGGACTACCTGTACATGTTTCTGCTTCCTTGATAGTACTATACAATAAAAACAAACAAGCCTACATGTGAGTGTATTTGTTGAATACATGTAGCACATATTATCAATTCAAAAACACTGATGATTAACAAGTATGGAAAGACAATAGCAACAATATGCAATCTTTTCCCCATTCTTTATAGGTAGCTCCAGATGTGTTATATTTCTGTTTGAAACTGGCTGTTTGTTCTTCTTAAAGGCCCTTGCAGTTGATTGATATGGATCCAATGGTCGGATTCAACCCACTTAACGACTGGTTCGCCGAAAATGTGAGTGTGCACGTATGTGCACATGCAGCTTCTGTGTATGCGCATGGCTTCTGTGCATGTGAATGCACATTGTGCATGCGTGCGTGCGGCTTCTGCACATGGCTTCTGTGCATGCACATGTGCACAACTTTCGCACATGCGCGGCTTCCGCCATGCAGCAAGGGTCGACCGAGCAGCTTTTCAGGGCCTGTTCCACTCCATCTCTGCTCTCCAGGGCAGTGGCTGCTTCTCTCCACTGCTGGCAGCTGCTCTTGCTGGGAGAGAGAGCATCTCTTGTGCAATTTAGCAGCTGTGAGTTGCCGCTTGCCTCTAAGTCCTATCCGGAAAGCGCGCAGCAGAGAAGCAGCAGCCATGTTGAATTCTGCTTCTCTGTACTGTGTGTTTTCCGGATGGGACTTAGAGGAAAGTGGCAGCTCACAGCTGCTAAATTGCACAAGAGATGCTCTCTCTTCCAGCAAGAGCAGTAGTGGAGAGAAGCAGCTGCTGACCCAGAGACCACATGGAGGGTCTCCGTGAGCGAGCAAGCCTCGGCAAGGGACGGTTGCAAGATCTCCGCTACAGCCAGCTAAGAAGAACTGTCCAGTAGTTTGAGACCAGAGGGGGCTGATGGCAAGTGGGCGGTGGCTCCAGGGCAAGGCTGGAGCCGGGAAATGGCACATTTCCTGACCCGGCCAAGGCGAGCAGCGAGCGGGTGGCGCCTCAGGGCAAGGCTGTAGCCGGGGAATGCTGTGTTCCTGGGCCACAACCCGAGGCGAAGGGCTAGCAGGTGGCATGCTTACCTTTGGTGAGCAGAGCGGGCAAGGTGCAGAGGCAAGGTATGGACATTAGCTGGACCACGTGGTGAAGGGAAGATAATATATAGGACAGGGTGGGGCGGGCAGGGATATCCGGTGATTGATTTTACCGGTTCTCCGAACTACCCAAAATCATAACAACCGGTTCACCTGAACCGGTCTGAACCGGCTGAATCCCACCTCTGTATGCATCCTATCCAGAAGACTGTAATTTAGTAATTAGTTCAATTTAGGGAACTTTTTAAAGGATTTAATACCAACATGAAGGTGGAGTAATATATTCTTTCTACTGAGGAAGGAAGGAAGGAAGGAAGGAAGGAAGGAAGGAAGGAAGGAAGGAAGGAAGGAAAAAAATAAATTATGGCATCTATATAATGTAAAACATTTACAAATGTAATACATGTAATCATGAGCTTTTTCTACTTTTCTATATAAGAAATAAAATATCTTGTATTTTAGAATATATCACAAGTACTTACACAAAGTGGTTTACTTGTTGATTTGGATTTTCCATCATTGCTGCAATACTTTTTCTTGTATCAGCTGGTAGATTGTGAGATATTTTATCTGATACTGTTTCTGCTTTTGCTCCAAGAGAGATATTTCTTTAATAAATATTTTATAAAAATGTATTATTTAATCATTCAGTAACATATATTACAAACTACTGTATTCCTCTAATTGTTATATTTGACATAATCACTAGATAGGAGACTTTGAAATACTAATTTGATTGACAACTCTATTCTATGAATGTTTGCTGCTGTTGTTATTATTATTTTTATTATTATCTTTATTCATTAAATATGAAACTCAGTCAACTGAACATTCAAAAATGCATCACAAATACCATTGACTGGTGCTAGTGGTTGATATGGGTTGCTTCCAGCGTCCTAGGTATCAACCAAGTACCTTCTTAAGATGTATGATTTTCCAAGTAGCACAGTTTTTTGCAGTTCCGCTGGTGTTATTGCAGGAAGCTGCAATTTGTTGATGTATCTTATAAAATTCTTGGACATGGTACTAAATGCCCCAATGACAATGGGTATCACTGTTACATGTTTCATCCATAAACGTGTAGTTTCAATGGCCAGGTTGCAATATTTCGTGATTTTTTCCAGTTCTTTCTCTTCGGGTCTGGCCTCTCCTGGTACCGCGATGTCAATAAATTGTACTTTTCGGTTTTCAACAACTGTGATATCTGGCATGTTGTGTTCCAAATGACGATCCATCTGTATTTGAAAGTCCCACAAGATCTTCACCTTCTCATTTTCTATAACTTTTTCCACTTTATGTTCCCATTATGTTTTGGATACAGGTAAGTCATATTTTTTACATAATGACCAGTGGATTAATTTAGCAACTTGGTCGTGTCTAGCTTTGTAATCAGTTTATGCGATTTTGCTGCATTCACATATTAAATGTGAAACAGTTTTGACTTTGTTGTTGCAGTTTGGATTGTCGGTGGATTTTTGTATCTTCGCTTTCATGGCATTAGTTTGTAGTGCTTGTTCTTGAGCAGTGAGTATTAAACCTTCCGTTTCTTTCTTGATGGTTCCCATCTTAAGCCATGCCCATGTAAAGTTCTCATCACATTTTCCTTCAATGTTTTTCAAGGGCTTTGTTTTTAATCTTGTTGTTGTTGTTGTTGTTGTTGTTGTTATATTTATTTGACACTTATCTCATCATGGGGCTACTTTAGGCTGTGGCTTCTATTCTCACAAATAAAACTTCAGATTTATTTATTTTTATTTTTAACTTAGTTAGTCGAACATGTGCAAGATAACAGGTATAGGTATAAACATGGACATGAACAAGGAATGAGTACAAATAAATGGGGAGAGTAGGACAGGGACGGTAGGCACACTGATGCCCTTATGCATGCTCCCTTTACTCTTAGGAATGGGGTGAGGTCCACGGTAGACAGTTTAAAGTTGAAGCTGTGGGGATTAGAAGATGTAACAACAGTGTCAGGTAGAGCATTCTAGGCATTGACCACTCTGTTGCTGAAGTCGTATTTTCTGCAATCGAGTTTGGAGCAGTTTACTTTGAGTTTGTATCTATTGTTTGCCCGTGTATTGTTGAGGTTGAAGCTGAAGTAGTCATTGACAGGTAGGACATTGTAGCAGACAATTTTTTTTTTATTTGATTTATATGCCACCCTTCTCCAGAGACTCAGGGCGGCTTACAATGCATTAAGCAATAGCCTTCATACTTACAAAGTCAGTCTATTGCTCCCACAATCTGGGTCCTCATTTTACCTACCTTTGAAAGGATGGAAGGCTGAGTCAACCTTGAGCCTGGTGAGATTTGAACTTACAGTAATTGCAGGCAGCTGATGTTAATAACAGTGCTTTAGTCTGCTGTGCCACCAGGGCACAGCAGACTAAATGTACTATGCAGTACATAGTACTATGCTTAGGTCAGACCGTAGGCGGCGTAGTTCCAGGTTGTCCAAGCCCAAAATTTCAAGCCTGGTGGTGTAAGGGATTCTATTGTGAGCAGAGGAGTGGAATACTCTTCTCGTGAAATACCTCTGGATCCACTCAATTGTATTAATGTCAGATGTAGATTCGAAGCAGACAAGCTATATTCAATAATAGGTCTGGCAAAGGTTTTGTATGCCCTAGTTTGCAGTACAATGTTACCAGAGAAGAAGCTTCGCAAGATTAGGTTAACAACTCTTAATGCCTTTTTGGCAATGCTGTTACAGTGAGCTCTAGGGCTTAGATCATTTGAGATGAGTACTCCTAGGTCCTTGACAGAGTAAGGGTCTTCTACGAGGTCGTATCCTCCCAGCTTGTATTTGGTGTTCTGATTTTTGTTGCCAATGTGTAGGACAGAGCATTTGTTAGTTGAGATTTGGAGTTGTCAATTGTGTGACCATTCTGACACATAGTCAAGGTCGCTTTGTAGGGCAGCAGCATTGTAGGTGGTGTTAAACAGTTTTACGTCATCAGCGAAGAGGACGTAGCTGCTTATAATATGATTGCAAGGGTCATTTATGTAAAACAGAAAGAGTGCGGGTCCTAAAACGCTGACTTGGGGGACACTGCTATTAACTGATGCCGGGTTTGATAGGGCGCTCCCTATTTTGACTATTTGTTGCCTGTTTGACAGGAACACGGCTATCCACTTGTGCAGTGATCTGGAAATGCTGTAAGAGCTTAGTTTTAACAATAGTTTGTCGTGTACCACTGAATCAAAGGCTTTGCAGAAGTCTATGTAAATTGCATTTATTGCTTTACCCTGGTCAAGTTTTGTGGTCCAAATGTTTCTGCAGTGTAGGAGTTGCATGTTACAGGACAAATTTTTCCTGAAACCAAACTGTTTGTTAGAAAACAGGTTGTTTGTTTCTAAGTGGAGGGTGATGGATTGAATTATAATTGATTCCATGACTTTACAGGTGATGTAATACAATAAGATTGGTCTGTAATTTTCTACTAGGCTGGGGTCTCCCTTTTTGAAGATAGGTATGACTGTGGCTAATGACCATAGGTCAGGTAAGGAGCTGGTTCTCAAAGATATGTCATAGATTGTGTTTAGAGCAGTGGTTCTCAACCTGTGGGTCAGGACCTCTTTGGGGGTCAAACAACCCTTTCACAGGGGTCTCCTAAGACCATCGGAAAACACATATTTTCAATGGTTTTAGGAATAATTTTATGGTTGGGGGTCATCACAACATGAGGAACTGTATTAAAGGGTCGCGGCATTAGGAAGGTTGAGACCCACTGGTTTAGAGGTTTGGCTATGGCAGTGGAAAGCTTTTTCAAGAAGTAGGCACATAATCCATCAGGGCCAATAGATAAAGATGGTTTTAGGCTGTGTAGTGCCGTTTCGACGTTATTTACTGTAAAATCAATATTATCAGATCATTGCAATTAGTTGTGGTATGACTAGGAAATGTGGGGCTGAAGCCATTGCTGTTGACAAAGACTGAAGTAAAGAATGTGTTGAAGAGGTTGGCCTTAACGACTTCATCGTTACAGTCTTCCCCGTTAGGTCCTTTTAGGGGTGTGATGGTTTTAGAGTCTATAAATTTGGCATTTACGAAATTATAGAAGGCTCAGGTAGATTTCAAGTGAAACAGCTCTTCCTCTTGTTTGCAGTGGTAATTGGTGCATTCTGCCTTTATCTGACGGCATAAGGCATTTTAGTGGTTTTTAAAGTTAGCTATGTAGTCAGTTTTGTTTTTTCGCCAAAGAG